TTTCTGAGAATCCACTATGTCCTAGGTACTAGGATCCAAGGATAAGATCAAACACACATGAGTGACCAGATTCATAAATAGTAGACACTAGTTTCTTTAGTGTTTCTAGGACCTTACTGATGCCAAACCAATGGCAGCCTCAGAAAAGCAAGGCCCTCATTGATAATTTAGCAATACTGCCTGGAGACTGTTGAACTGTGATTGCAGGGTAGGGGAAAAATATGAGTTAGTTAGAAAAAGGGAGGAGTGTGTGACTGGGGGTTTTTATACAGAGATATATTGATTTTCTCAAATAGCAGCTGTTCAATTGATCATGAATTACAGTGACTGGGAAATCCTCAGTGGCATAGCTGCAGGTGTCTTGTGATCCCTTCTTTCAGATTCTGTGCCTGTTTCCTAGGCTCAGCACCACAGTCTGCAGGGTAGTACTTGGGATACTACTTCAATAATGGCTGATGTTTGCTTCTGTGGATACGAGTATTACAATAGCCAGCTCCCCATTCCTGGTTTCACTTTCCACAATTTCAGTTACCCTTGGCCAAGTGTAGTCCAAAGATATCAAATGAAAAATTCCAGAAGTAAGTAATTCATAAGTTTTAAATTACATGTTGTTCTGAGTAGTGTGATAAAATCTCATACTGTCCTGCTCTATACCACCAGAATGAGAATCATCTCTTTGCCTATTGCATCCATGCTGTATACACTACCCACCTGTTAGTCACTTTGTAATGGTCTTAGTAATCAGATCAGTAGTCATGACACTGCAGTACTTTTGTTCTAGCAACCCTTATTTTACTTAATAATTATCCCAAAATACAATAGTAATGATGTTTGATCATTATAATTGTTTTATTTTATTTTATAATTGTTTTATTTTGTTATTGTTGTTACTAATCTGTTACTGTGCCTAACTCATACATTAAACTTTATTATAGGTATGTGTGTATAGGAAAGAGAGTTTGTATAGGGGTTGATGCTATCTGTAGTTCGAAGCATCCACTAAGGGTCTCGGAACATATCCTCTGGATAATGAGAGATGGCTGTACTTTGTGTTACTTGCTTGCAGGTGGGAGGAACTGAAGACAGTTACTGGATAAAGATAGCAAATTCATCTAACTATTGGGCTGGGGTTCTATATATAACCTCAGAGGAATATGCAGCTGTGGATGGCAGCTTCTTGGGCTTTTCTTATGAGTAAGGAAATGTGCCTGGTTGAGTATCAAGCCATGTTTGTAAAGAATACCTCCATCTAGCTCTGTGATCGAGGGGCTAAAGGCAGGTCTGACCAGTGGCTTTGGAAGTTAATCCCTAAACCAAACTATGTCATTGTAGTGGCTTTGGAAGTAAATCCCTAATCCAAACTGTGTCATTGTGATTCTTTTTACAGAGGACTTTCTTCTGAATTGTGTTAGGATCCTTGCTTGGCATAATGAAAAGAATATAGGGCTAGTTTTCAGAATGAAATGCATAGGGGAAGGAAGTAAATAAAATTAGCTATATTAGAAACCATTTTCTCTGTTTTGAAATACTTGATAGTCATTAGAGGAGCAGATGGAGAACCAGGGAAGAAAGGAACTGAACATCTCTTGTATAACAGTGAATTTGCTAAAGCTTTTCTACAAAAACCAAAGCACTAGTACAGATGACCTGGGTTCAAATCATGACTCCACCACCTGTTAGCTTCTTTGTGTTAGGTAAACTATTTAACTTTTTTTATTCTATTATTTTTTGCTGGTAAAATTAGAAAAACAACTTCTACCTCACAAGCCAGTTGTGGAGATCAGATGAGATGATGTAGACAAACACATTTTTTTTTTCTGTGTGTAAAAACAGTATAAGAACTCAGGGTCTCATTGTTTTTTCTTATATCCTGTTTCTCCCACTTCTTGGGAATGGTTTGTAGCAGGTGTTTGCTTATAACATTGTGGCTGGTTTTTCTCTTGGGCAAGCTCATACTTATGAACAGAAGCAATTCTATTTCTTTTGGACTTGGTATAGAAAGTATCAGAACTGGGCTGGGGTTGTGGCTCTGCGGTAGAGCACTCGCCTAGCACATGCAAGGCCCTGGGTTTGATTCTCAACACCACATAAAAATAAATAAATAAAGATATTGTGTCCAACTAAAAAATAAATATTTTTTTAAAAAGAAAGTATCAAAACTCCCCAAAGCAGTGTGTTCTTCTATCCTGTCAATCTCCAACACAAATGGCACCTCAGTTACAGAACAGAACAAAGAAATGCACCATAGGATTTTAGGGAACATCACACAGGGAAAGATGTGGACTTCTAGTAGCCACTGCCCTACATACTGGTTACCTAGAAAGTCAGTGAGTTTGTGTAGGATCCCAGGTATTGACATCCCACAGATGGGGACTTGAGTCCCTGACATCCCTGTTTATTGCTAGATGTGTGACCTTTGCTCAGTCACATAACCTGCAAGAATTACAGATTTCTTATCTGCAAAATTGAATTGAGATATCATAATGATGGGTAAATGTAAACACCAGAGATACTGTGTATGCAGACTTCATAGGCTCTCAATCAATATTCCTTTGCCATTTTTTTTTTACACATGTGTCAGTCTATGTGTGGTATTATCTCTTTGACTTCTTGGGTGGTCCTGGTGACTTAGGTGTCATATTTCATAGCTGAAGCCTGGGCTTATCTCTCACTCTCTGTCCTTTGCAACTTTGTAATGATAATGTGCTTGAACAACTTTGCTTTTGGCTTAACTAGATAGTTATTCCTCAAGTTCAGTTATGGAGGTTCATTTATGCACATGAGGGCTTTGGGAGGTTAGAAGTCTTACCGTTTTCAGGGAAAATGCAGAATTCGTCACAGTGTCTCAGGTAAGAAGGACTAATGTTTCATCCAACCCAGTGCAGGATGGCTGAGGCAACTTCTGGAATGAATAGTCCCCTTGTTCCTATAGAATGGGGCTAAGTCTGCTTTCTCCAAGGTCAGACCTTCTGATTCTCTCTCCATCCCTCTCTCACTGAGTCTCCAGGACAGACATTATTGCAAAATGAATCAGAAGGCAACAAAAGTGACCTTTTGATTTATTCCATCCTTATTTGCCATCCCTCCAAAACCTCTAGTTTCACCAGAAAAGGAGCAGCACTTAGACTATGGAGTGCTTTTGAGGAGCCCAAATACTATTGAACCCAAATCCTCACTCTCTCTGACATGGATGGGGTAAGCTTAACATTTTTCAAATAAAGAATTTTCTGATATAAGGATCTGCCTCCATATCCAGTCTTTGAGTAGTAGTGGTTTATGAAATGTAGGAGTAGAGATGTGTTCTCAAATTATAGGGTCACTTACTTCGCTTTCAGCCTTTTGGGTCTCCCTACTTGGAAATAAGTGAAGCAGTATTAAAGAAACTAACAGTTTGAAGTGTTTACTTTTTTTCTTTTAGGAAACATAAAAAACAGTCACAGAGAGCCACTGTGGTCATTAGGTCAGAGAGTTTGCACCAAGGAGAATGTGAGTATCTATCCCAAAATGTTGTTTTGAGGATTAAAGGAGTCAATACATGTAAAGTACTCAGAATAGTGCCTGGCACAGACTGATGCTATATGGTATTACCTGTACAATTCTGGGCAGGGTCTGCCACTGGCCCCTGAGCAGCTGCCTCTGCAGTTACTATCAGATTCTACTTGGAAGCAGATTCAGAAAGAAGCCAGTCACAAAAGGCCATGAGGTTTCTTTTGGGAATGATGAAGTTCTAAAACTGACTGTGGTGATGTCTTCATGACTGTGCATATTCTAAAGATAATCAAATTAAACAGATGAATTATATGATGTGAGGATTATATCTTAATAAAGCATATATATATGTGCTTATTATAATATAATATTATTATACATATATAATATCTTAATAAATCATGTGTGTGTGTGTGTGTGTGTGTGTGTGTGTGTGTGTGTGTGTGTTTAGAATTCTGCCACTGGTCAACATCATGATCCTATTAGTCAAAGAAACCAGTGTCTGTCTACTTCTCTGTTACAATAGCCTCCTAACTGGTCTTACCATTCACAGCATCCTTGCCACTGTACTGACTCTAGCACCACTGTGATCTTTTCATGGACAGCAGACTATGGCATATACCTGCCTAAACTGTTCCACCACCTTCTTATCCCATTCAGTCATCAGTGTGAAACATTTTAGCATGGTCTCAAGGACCTGCTCAGTCGGGTCCTAGTGACTTCTTCCTTGGCCACTATGTTCCCATTTGATACTTTGCTATCTCCTTTGGCCTTCTTATTCTTGCAATACTTTGATCTCATCCCTGCCTGCTCAGCATCTTTCTGTTTTCTACACAATATGCCCAGAATTTGACCCCCACATCTTCTCATGGATAATTTCTTTATATCATCTAGGACTTAACTAAAATATCATCAAACCAGAGAAGCTTTCCTTGTGTAAAAAGTTTAGTATGGTCTCCTCCCATCAATCTCTAGCCACTCATTAAAATTTTTTTTCATGGAATTTATCACTCTTTTAATTTACATTTTATATATTTACATGCTTTTTGGAAGTCTCCTCCATTAGGAGGAGACAGTTTTTCTCTTTTACTACTGTTCTCCTAGTACCTAGAACAGTTTCCCGCACTCATTGCTTGTTGAATGAATGAATGAAGCCACAACATTAACTGTAGATACAGAAACAGAAACACATACATACTCATTTTTTTAAAATATGTGTATCTCCTACTCTGCATCATCTTTGGAAGTATCTTACATATTTGAAAGCTTGGGATTAAATTCTTTTATCCCTTTTCAATATCATTCATCATATTGAATTAAAATGCAATTAAATACTTAGACTGAAAAACACAATTGCTCTTTGCCTGAAAGTCCAGAAAATTTGTAAAGGGTTTCAGAGCCTTTGAGTAGGCAACCATTCTTACTTGGAAGATCAGCAATGGTTTATTTCAGTAGTTTAAAGCAGAGATCTAGCTCTACTAGTAGGCAATTCTATTCTCAGGCTTACTTACAGTGTGGACTTTCTCTAGCTCCTGTCCTCAGAAGAATCCTAGCAATGGGCACATTGTTGGTCATGATGGCAATATCCAGGGGCGTTAGTCCCTCACTGTTAGGCGTGTTGAGGTCTAGCTCTTCTGGTGTGTACTGGTACAGGAGGAGCTGCACAGCATCAATGTCTTGCTGCTCAACTGCTTCAAACATGGCTTCGTTGCCCTGGAAATTCTGGAGAAGAGTGAAAGCAGGTTAATATAGTTTGCTAGACCAGTGTGTCTTTGTGGCATAGTTATACTGAACTTTAAAGATTGCTTCTGGGACTATGTGCCCACTTATATACAGATAGTTGCATAACCAAGATTAATCCTGAGGTCTACCAAGTAAACACTGGATTGGACCTGCCTGTCTTCCTTCCTTCCTTCCTTCCTTCCTTCCTTCCTTCCTTCCTTCCTTCCTTCCTTCCTTCCTTTCATTTGTTCTTTTTAGATATACATGGCAGTACAATGTATTTTGACAAATTATTATACATACATGGAGTATAAGTTATTCTAATTAGGATCCCATTCTTGTGGTCTCTGCTTACTTTCCAATGGGCATTGAACAGATATTATAAGTAGATGAACTGAGAAAATACTGCACTGTATAGCAGTGCTAGTTTGTAAGTAAGCACAAAATAAACATCTTAAACCAGTTCTCTGTGGAAAGAATAATGTTTGATAGGTCATTAAAAGATGTTCTTGTGAAGAAAGTAGCATATAGTCAAATAAATATGGTAAACATAAGGTTAAACTAAGTCACTCAATTATTTACTGTAGGATATCTGATGTCAATTATTTTTACATATGTTTTATTGTATTTAGCTCTACCTACACCTGGAATAGTGTGCTATAGAACACAGGTTGGGGAATGCTGGCATAGATAATGTCAGCACATGTAGTTTAATCAGGGCTGGTTTGATATGGAGAGTACAGTTTCTTTCAAGCTCATCCCCTTCCTCTCCATCTGCAAGTTTTATCATCCTTTGTCTTGACTTGTGGCAGTGACCTATCTGCTGCTACTCTTGGTCTCCTGTACTGTCACAAGAATAATCTTCCTAAAATATACATATTTTAGTCAATTTTTGGTCATTGTAATAAAAAGTCCTGAAAAGAACAATATAGAGGAGGAAAAGTTTATTTGGGGCTCATGGTTTCAGAGGTTTCAGTCAATAGATGGCTGACTCCATCGCTTTGGGCCCAAGGTGAGCAGAACATCATAGTGGAAGGGGTATGGTGGAGGAATGCGGCTCCAGACGTGGCAACAAGGAAGCAGAGAGAATTCTGTTCATCAGGGACAAAATATATTCCCAAAGGCATACCACCAGTGACATACCTCCTCTAGATAAGCTATACCTTGCCTGCCTACCATTACTGCTTAGTTAATCCATTCAAATGGATCAATACACAGATTGGGTCACAATCTAATTTCTCATAATCTAATCATTTCACCTCTGAAAATTCTTGCATTGTCTCACATGTGAACATTTGGGGGGATCCTTTTATCTGAACCATAATAATACATACTGCATGTCACTTCTCTGTTTATAGATCACTAAGCACTTCCCAGTGCCTATGAGCCGATGCCCCTATTCCTAGCCTCTTGGTCTCTAATTCCATACTTTCTTAACCCAGAGCCCCAACCATTGGACACCTGGCATTTCTGAGCCCTGTGGTGAGGGGCACAAGTGGCAATGTCCAGGGAGGGTTTCAGGGGCTCTGTAACTAACTGGGGACCTGAGAGGGCCAGAATGAAATAAACAAGCCAGCTATAGAAAAAAAAAATCTATGGACAATATGGTTCTTTCAAAGGATTAACAATGAAGAAGTGCTCTGGAATTCTCTTACATCATTTCTGCAGCTCATGGGAAGAGACCAACACATACACTACTTACATATTTATCTGGTATCTTCTCCAAGAGTTGCTTGGTCTTTAAAATGTTGAAATACCATTGATCTTGACCTAGCACCATGGTTGCCTGATTAGCATGTGGAAGATCTGTGGTGACCAAATGTTTAGATGGGCAGTTTTTATTTTTAGTCTTATTAAAAATTGATTGTCTCAAAGACTGCTGGTTGGCTTTAACTGAGTACACCCCACAAAATGGGAACTAAGGAAAACATGAAGTGATTATGCAAATGCTCATTTTGACAGTGGGAACTCAGGGAATAGAGCTATTTTTGTATGCAGTTCTCTTTGCTACAGAATAGCTGCTGAGTGGAAAAATGTTTTGTCCACAATCTGATAAACTGAAAGGTCTCTGATGCTTGGGCTGCAACTTAACTACAGCCAAACCCTCCCAGAAGATGAGTTAGAAACAAGAAAATGTATTAGAAAACAAATGAGTTCAAAGTTAAAAATGCTGCCCTGTCCATAGTGTGTATTTGTTTTTGATTCTTAGTATTTCTGATTTCTCATGATCCATATTTACCCTCACTCTTTAGTCATTTCCTGCTCTATGCTTTTGTTGGCAAATTTTAACTTGCTTCTATCTGGAAAGGTCAGGACTCACTTCTGTTTTAAGTTCAAACAAATGAAGCCATTATAACCTTGCAAAAATACCTGTGTTGAACATGTGCATATTATATGCTCAGATTTTACTGAAGGCCAATATAGAAGACTACCATATGAGAACATCTATGGTATTGCCAATACTTCTCTTTGCTATTTGTTGTCACCTAGTTTACTATGACATCTATGCAGGCCAGATGACGTAGCAGCAGGAAAATACTCATTTCTCTTGATGGACTGATAATACTTTCAGTTATCAGCTAATGGGATGCCAAAACCAGTTCTGTTTCCTTTTCTGCTTTCACTGCCTGAGAACTCAAAGATAAGTGTCATAATAAATTTCATGTAGTCTATTTGCCTAGGTTTTTGGTATGTGTGTTTCTCTTCTCATTCTCATATATTTTCTTTTTAAAAATATTTAATTAAATTTATTTTTTAAATATATGACAGTAGAATGCATTGCAATTCTTATTACACATATAGAGCACAATTTTTCATATCTCTGTTTTTATATAAAGTATGTTCACAACAATTCATGTCTTCATACATGTACTTTGGATAATGATGTCTATCACATTCCACCATCATTGCTAACCCCCTGCCCTCTCCCTTCCCCTCCCACCCCTCTGCCCTATCTAGATCATATATTTTCTTTTTCTTTCTTTTTTCTTCTTCTTTTTTTGCTATTTATCCTTTCTACTCCTAGCTATAATATAGTAAATATGCATTCTTTGCCTGGATTCTATTTTATGTCTTTGAAAAGCATGTGGATTATACATTAGATGTAAGTAAGTAATATTAATACTATTATTTGAATGATTACTGGACTTCTCAAAAAAAAACTATTTAACCTGAGAGTCCATATTTGTCAAACAGCTACTTTTTTGATTGGTTTCTTTGGTCTAGTAGTGAAAGAAACATTAAAGGGAAAGAAGTTAAGAAAAAGAAAGGAAAAATCTCATAATAACTAATACTTTGTCCACAATCATGGATAGGTGCACTTCCCATCTTGACAGATTCTATTTCAGCATAAAACTGTAAAAATATGAGCTTCAGAAATGAATGTGAATCATCTTAGAATTTCCTTAAACCCAAACATAAATAAACAAATCTAATTGACAGAAGAATAAAAAGAGTTTTGTTGTTACCACCGAGGTCTTCCTAAGACCCAGTCGATCAGTTCTTGTTCTAAAATAGGCCTCATCAAATGAGGAGTGGCTCCCTTTCAGTTTCTCTGAGAGATTCCGGTACAAGCGTTTGGCAGCATTGGGGGACGATGGGGCACTGTGCTTCTTTGACTGGGAAAGATGTAAATTCTGCATCTGTTGGGTCATTTTTATACAGCAGTTCCTAGGAAAAGGAAAATCTTATGTATTATTTACACATTATAACTGCAAGTTGATAGTAACCATCTTGAATCCTAATACAATATCATAACTGGAAGGGACATCAGAGATCATCAGACCTAATTTCTTTCTGGTTTAGATGAGAAAATTGAAACCCAGTAAAGGAAGTAGCTTGTTTATGACCACAGAGATAATTGGTAGCAGGAATGACAACCTCCATTTACTATATTACATATATATATATAATATGACTTTAGTCTTTTTTGCTATCTCATCCAATTGACGAAGTGTGTCAATTCTGTAACCTAAGGGTGTGTCCAATTATCTTGGATCTGTGCAATTGGTACTTTTCTACTTACCTTCTCCTAGACACTGGCCTTTGTTGGGTGGATAAAAAAGTGTAGTTGTTCCCTGAACACCCTCCATTTCTCTTGAGGATAGCAGTCAAATTGTGAAGTTAATTGTGTTCACTTAATGTGCCCAGGATAGAGATCTTCCAGGGTACTCTCTATGTGCATTCTCCAAATAGACTTAGCTGTTGTTCCAAAAATCTCTTAACAGGTCCCACCAATGTCATAACTGAAGTCAGTTTTTAAGAGATCAGTCATGTCATTTCAAAAGTCATCCACCATTGTTTGGGGATATTGTTATTGAAATATTGTTGCTACCAAGACTATGACCACCTAGTGTGTGAATGCATGTGTGTGTTTTGAATGAGCAAATGTACAAATGAAATCACTAGCCAATGTACTTCAATGCAAATTTATATTCTAATCTTTTCACTATTTTCATGACTGAGGAAACCTCTGGGTCATGCTGCTGTCTTCCAAACACCTCCTATCAAATTTGAGTGGAGTCTTCATTTGTAAGGCTGCATTGCTACTTAGCTGTGACCTTTAGATCATTGCTAGGCCTTAAGTTTTTAGACCCTTACAGACCCTCTGACATAAAGCTGTGTAGAAAATCTTTTATTGATCAAACTCTTCACAGAACTGATTTTGATGATTCTTCAGTTCCCAAAAGATAAAATCTAAATTCTTTAGCCTCAGATACAAGTGCTTTTCTCATCTCTTACTGTACTTCTACATGTTATGTTTTAATCCTCTGAACTCTGTGGGGTTTTTAATAAATAATTCAAAGGTTTTTTACCTCTTGGTCTTTGCATATATTACTTTATTTGTAAGAGAAGTGAATCTCTGTTTTCATCACCTTAGAAATGGTTATCAATCCTTAAAGTATATTTTTAAGAAGTCTCTGACACTCCCAGGCAAATTTGGTATATGTCTTTATGGCAATCATATTACAATTGCTTGGCTCTGGGTCTCTCAGCTAGTCTATATGTTCCTAAGGGGTGAGGACTGCCAAATCCTAATTTGTATATCCTCAGTTCCTAACATGTGGCACAAGGTAAAAGAAATAAAACAGATTAGAGTATAAATTCCTACTCTTTCACCTACTGACTGTGTAATCTTGGATAAGTTACTTAACCAATTTCATTTTTCTCCTTTATAAAATGGGGATAATATGGCATCTACATATTATTGTTATGAGAATTTGATGTAACAATGCATGCAAAGAGCCTAGTGTATAGGAGGACTCCTAGTAGCTAATGTTTTTATTATAGAAAATATCAATAAATACTTCAGAATAAATGAGTGCACATAGGAGAGTCTGTTACTTGCAATATAAGAGAAAGACTTGGAAAGTCTGTCTTACTTCTCAGCTTGGTTACATGTTCACTGGCACCAACCAACCTTAATTACTTTCACTTCAACAGATGCAAATCCATCTTCATGCCATTGCTAAATGTCCTTAGGCATGTTTTAAGTCTTACTTGCAATTTCCTCCAAGACAGAAAGATTTCCTGGTTCCTTACAAGGTGGTCAGGCACAATCAGACTTAGTCACATCCATCAGGCCCCACCCAGGCTTAGCTAAATGGGCATGTTTAACATTTGGAAGAATGACACAAGGCATTGTCTGTACTTTGTGTGTGTGTGTTTGAGTTTATAAATAGTCATTTTATTCACAAAAGTTGAAAAGAAAAAGTTAGGTTATTTGTCATCCTTGTCCTTCCATCTATAAATTCTTTACCTTTGCTTCAATAGCACTTACAGGACTTCCTCTAATTTATTTCTTTTCATACCTACAAAAATTCCAGATTCATGTGCAAGCTGGATCACATGGGGATTGCCTTAACCTCTTTCTTTCTGCCTTCTGTCTCTAGCCTTTTCCTTCAGCATTAATGTCCCAGTTTAAGCCATCTGTCTTGTCTACATCATTATTGTTCCCAAAATAACTCTACATTCTTTTGTATCTCCCACAATGCCCAGGAGTCCAGTAAATAAATTCTTGTCGATTGATCAAATTCCAGTGACTTGCCCTCTAACTGATGACACCTACCCACGGGGCCCCTTTTGTCTTTGCTCATCTCCCATCTGTTTCCTTCCGTCAAAACAGGTTGACTTTCTCTGTCTCTTTGACTCCCTTCTCACACTCCCCCAGCTGTCCCTTTCTTCCAGCTATTCTTCAGTATGTTTCCACTCTTCTAGCTTTCATCTATCATTATGGTCTGTTCTTCTCCTCTATATTTAAAATTTTGCCAGATGAAAGATAGTGACAAAACAATTTTCTGGTATCTATGTTTATAAATATAAATACCTCTCCCAAATCTATTTTTTTTACCCTTATGGAAAGAGAGAAGCATTTGAAAATCAGTGTAGTTTTGGCTCTGGAATTTGGTGTACCCAGACATCTATCCTGATATCGTTACCTGCAATCTATGTGACTTTGGACACTTTATTTAAATTTTCTGAGTTATTTAGTCATATATAAATGGGCATAATAGTACATTTCTTATGAGTTGTGAATATTAATCAACACATGAAAGGTACTATCTTGTTTGGTGCATTTTAACCACTTGATTAATAGCAGTAATTGTTCAGGATACACCAAGTCTTCTTCCCAAACTAGAGACACTGAAGTATATTGTAATGATTTATTTTCCTTGCTTGTTTTAAAATTGTCTTGAGTCTGATTTTATATACTTAGTATATTACTTAGTTTTTATATTGAGAGAAAAATGTAAGTTCAGATATTTTGGGGATGTATCTTTATAGTAACTAATATTAAAGCAACAAGGAAGGAGAACTTCAGACTATTAGAGTAGAGTTGAATAAAGAAAAATATAAAAATAATTGAAAAAAATAATATAAAATATAAAACAAAGAAGCAGGGCTAAGATAAAATATATTCATGAACAGGATGTATTAAGAGTTTACTTTTCTCCTAATAAAAGGCAAAAGTTCTCCAATGGAACTTTAGAAAGGTCGTTTATAAGTGGTATACCTAAATAAACATTTCTTTCTCTCTCTCTCTCTCTCTCTCTCTCTCTCTCTCTCTCTCTCTCTCACACACACACACACACACACACACACACACACACACACACTCAAAACCCTAAAAATAAAAACTAGTACATCAGTGGGAAGGGTAAAGAAGGGAACTTTAGGAATCTTTTCCTCCATAAAAGCAATGAGAATACTAGTAATGTTATCAGAATTAACTTTTCAGAATCCTGGAGTTTTTGTTAAACAAAGGCTTGCAATAATCCAGGAATGCTTATTCCAGAAAAAGAATGGCATGCTTTGCAGCATGTTATTTAGCCTGATTCCTATCTTCTCTAGCTCTATGTAACCATTGCAAACAAGAGTGCTCATTCATGGTTAAAAACTGTAGCATGTCAGCCATGGTAGGGGATAGGACGGGGTTGGAACTCCTTCAAAATTTCTATTTGTGGACAACTGTCATTGTTTGAGACACCTGATGGTTCCCAGGAAGACCTCATATATTAGGCTTGTTTTTATTTGAACTGATTTGGAGCACACCAGGGCAAATAGTCTTTTACTTAGGGTACTTGTCAAAAATAAGCATCAAAAAATTTTTAATACTTTTAAAAAATTGTACAAAAGTAGGGCAATGAGATATTCATAGAGGGCTTTGAAAAACTCTGCCATATTCCTGTGAATCTAGGAATCTAGGAATCTAGGGCTGGGGACAGAACATGGTAAAAAAATAAATAAATAAATAAATAAACCTCTCTGAGAATATTCTAAATTTCCATTTTTATCTGATGTTGAGGCTCCATTTAAACAGGAAATGAAGACTAAGGCAGAGTTATCAATCACTGGGTATGCTCTAACACACAGAGTCTTTCTGCAAGAGGGGGACTTGCTTATTATAGGTATTTAAGGAAATCTCTGTCAAATTGTTATCTGACCTCTAAGAAACAGAGACTTCAGTGGCCACATATGACAAAAAATAGACTTCAAAAATTTAATTCTGAAAAAATCAGTAAACAACAACAGCAAAAACAAAGACCGAGAAGGAAAATGAATCTAATTTGATTTTCAGAGTTTCCACATTATATTATTAAAATGCTTAGTTTACAAAAAATTATGAGACATTTAAAGAAACAAAAATTATGACTCATGCCCCGAAAATAAATTTGTCAATAGAAAATACCCCAAAGAAGTCCACATGTTAGATTTAATGCACAAAGACTATAAATTAATGATTTTAAATATGTTCAGAGAACTAAAGTAAATCATGTGTAAAGAAATGAAAGAAACCATTAGGATGATGTCTCACTGAACTGAGATTATTAATGAAGAGAAATTTTAAAAAGAACAAAATAGAAATTCTGGAATTGAAAAGTGCAATAACTGAAATGAAAAATTCACTAGAGGAATTCAACACCATATTTGAGCAGTCACAAGAAAAAAATCAGCAAGCCTGAAGGTAAATCCATTCAAATTTACCAGTCTGAGGAGAAGGAGAAAGAATGGAGGAAAATTAACAGCCTCAGAGATTTGTGGGACATTGTCAAGTTTACCTATGAATGCATAATAGCATTCCCAGAAGAAAGAAGGGTAAAGACGGATATTTGAAAATAGTAATAGATTTGTATATTACAAATTAATCTACACATCCACAAGCTTAGAAG